CTGCGGGAAGCCTCACACCACCTACAACGGGGAGAAGGCATCGCCAGCCCTTCCAGCATGCCAGGCTTGTGATGGTGCATGTGGCTGCCTGGCCTGTGCGCCTGGATCTGCTGCCTCTCTCCCCAGCTGCTGAGCGCATCAGCAAGGAGCCAGGCCTGCCAGCATGGCTTTGTCATTTTAATTAGGGAGCAGATTGTCCTGTTTCCCTAAAATTTTCTCAATATATTTCCTGGAGCTGGAACTGACCCAGTTTGGGTCTGTTCATACCTGCCTGTCTGTTCATGCCGTGTAAACTCTCTGCCATTTACTGGCACCTAACCCACATCTGCTCTCCCTCGCTTGGACAGGAGTCATCCTCTACATCCTGCTGGTCGGGTACCCTCCCTTTTGGGATGAAGACCAGCATCGCCTCTACCAGCAGATCAAGGCTGGGGCCTACGACGTGAGTGGGTTTGTCTTCCTCTCCTCTTTCGCTGTCTCCCCTCTCTCCTGCCGTCCCCGCATCGCAGTCTGCTGCTCCTGGGGAGCATTGAGACAGAGTTCAGGTAGATGTGAGCTGGTTTCTTTCCTCTGCCCTGCTTGCAGAGGGTCGGCCGAGCTGCCTTACACACATGCGCTGGCCAGGCACGCAGTGCAGGACAAATAGGTGTTATCCTGGGCCTCCTGCGTTTCCCCCTCTGCCCCTGCTCTGCTATCCAGTTTTCCGGTTGGCAGCTCTTTCCAGCTAGTGCAGCAAATCCCTCTCTGTCCAACACTGTCTCACGGGCAGAAGCAAAGAGCTGCAGGAGAACCAGCCCTACTTCGTTTGGGAGGTCTGAGAAGGGCTTCTGCTTCCACTGCTTGTCACCATCTCTCACCCTGCTCCCTTTGCTTTGGCAGTTCCCCTCCCCTGAGTGGGACACAGTCACTCCTGAAGCAAAAGATCTCATCAACAAGATGTTAACCATAAACCCATCCAAGCGCATCACAGCAGCAGAGGCTCTGAAGCACCCCTGGATATCAGTGAGTCGGGCATTCATGGGAAAGGCTAGATGCCATGAACAGAGGGAGGGACATGAGGGCATCCCCACCAGTTCTGGTATGAGTATTTCACATCAGTGGCCAGGAGCAGGGCATGCAGTGGAGACTGACAACCCATGAGGGTTGCAGCCGTGCCGCTCACCCTGCAGAGTCCGGATCAGCTCCTCACTGCGTGGCCAGGCAGCTGAGGCGTTAACTTAGGGGGCGGCAAGATCTCCCTGCAAACTCCCACGCTGCCAGACAAGATCCTGCTGACTCAAGAGAGCCAGTAACTCCTGCTGCCTATTAAAGTTTTATCTGCTGCTGTTGCTGCATGCAGCTACAGCCTGCATCTCAGCCATGGGAGACGGCATACGTGTGGGGGTGTGTGAGTGCAGGGATATGTTCCCTCGATGCTGCATTCGGCTCCCCTCAAAGCCCACTCTCCTCTCCCTCACCATCCTCTTTCTCCTTCTCTAAGCAGAGTCTCTCTCTCTTCTCAGCATCGTGCTACTGTGGCATCATGCATGCACAGGCAGGAGACTGTGGACTGTCTGAAGAAGTTCAATGCCCGGAGGAAGCTGAAGGTAACGCTCATGCTCTCCTTTCCAAGCTGGCTGGAAAAAGCATGGCAAGAAGGCTTGGGATTCCTTGCCTGAGTGGAGAAGGCCAGGGTGTGTCTCTGGAGTCTCTGGGTCAGGCTATGGGAGTGATGCACACTGGGGATCTGCTCTGAAGGAGGGAAAAGAGGCCAGTGTGTGCCAGTGGCTGCATCAGGGGCCCCTTTGCTTGGGAAAAGGCTACTGTGAAGCCAGGCACTGAATCACATAGCAAGACTGTGGCCACATTGGAAACTGGGCTGAGGAAATTCCCCTGGGGACAGTGTCAGAGAGCTCCTTCCGACAGCAGGACATGGAGCCGAGCAACTCAGCACGACCTCTTTGCCTGATGCAGGGCCTGAACAAGCCACGTTGCGTCCCAGGAGCAGCTGAAGTGGTGTGTAGGCAGGCAAAAAGCTGAGGCAAGTCTGACCTGTGCCAGCAGCCCCTTAGACTTTCCCTTCTTGGGTAGTGTTGTGGCCAGGCAGTCTTCGCCAGCTCTGAAATCACAGGATACCCCTGAAGAGCTCCGCTGCGTGGCTGCTCTGCCCTAGCTGGTGGCACCCTTCTGGGAACTGGCTCCGGACGAGTCTGGAAAAGGAAATGCTTCCCCTAGAGCCAGTAACATCAACAGCCTCCCTCAGCTTCTCCCGCTGCAGGGAGGGCTCTGACCTGTACAATAATCAGACCCGTTAGCGTTTCAGGCCTGAATGTGTTGTGGCACAAAGCAGTATAGCTGCAGGCTGCTAACAAGATTATCAAGACAAGAAACTGGCTATAAACTATTATTACCTTTCAGCTAGACAAGTAATCAAATTAGTTCAGGCATGTACTTCAAAACAGTAATCCATTACTGTAACCAATTAGTCCAAAGTAATCTCATTATACACTAAGAAACTAGTTAGTAGAGTCAGTTGGAAGAGGGGAAACATTTTTATAAACGTTATCTTGAATGTTGTTCTTTGCTACCATGAAAAATTCCCACCCTACTGTTGTTAGCGGGTGCAACTTTAATTACAATTAAATACAGTTCCGCTCTCGGTGACTCCCCTTTCAACCAGCTGCCCTCCCTGCTCGGTGGTGTCCCTCTACATCTACAGCAGAACGAAACCGAAATCTGCCCTGGGATATTTAATATCCCTTTAATCTCAGAGGGGAGGCAGGTTCAGAGGATGCAACCCAACACCCTGGCATCAGGGTTAAGGAGTCAGGTACCGAGCCTGGTTTTGATGGCAGGCGGGGAATATTGGCCTGTGGGCCAGTTCCTCCCAGCAAAGGGTGGGGGGGGGGGGGCACGTGGGAAAGTGCAGCGGACCGAGGCCCAGCACACCCTTTCCTTCCTGCCTTTTGTGTGTTTCAGGGAGCAATCCTCACCACCATGCTGGCGACGCGCAACTTCTCCGGTAGGTGCCGTCTCCGGGGTTCTAACCCCGGCTTTGCCCTTGCTCTTTGCCGGGAACGCCCGTAGGGCCCTGGGAAGGCAGCTTCGCCCAGGAGCTCAGCTGACACTGGCTGCCTCCTCCCTCTTCCCCTTCTTCTGGCCCAAAGGGCAGCTGCCCTGGGTCTCGCCATGGAGCTGAGGATGCAGCTTGGCACCCCAGAGGGGCATGGTGTTTGGGGGAGATCGGGGCCAGGCAGGAGAGCTGGGGCTTCAGGCTGATGGCTGGCTTGGGGTGCGGGAGAAAAGGTGTCTGTCTGGAGTGTAGCTGTCCCCTGAGTTTTGGGGCTCCAGGGTTTCTATGCACCTGCCCATCCCGCTCGTGTCAGGGTTTGGATGGGACAAGGGCTGAGGCCTGCTGTCCTAGGAGCACTCCTCAGCGGGGAGTTTTAGTCCTGAGGGTTGCACAGAGACGCAGGAGAAGCCTGGCAGGGGCCAAGTGCAGCAGTCCAGCCTGAGCCATGGCACTAGTCCCCACGCAGCCCCAGCGCCCTGCAGCTCTGGCCGGGAGCTTCCTCCTCTGGAGATATTCGACCAACTAGGAAGTAAGTTTTGCAGCTGGGATCACCCTGGCAGGGATCACCAGCTCCCAGCTGATTTCCAGGCACAGCACCCAAAAAGAGCCAGCCAAGCGCAGGTCAAGTTGTTTCCTCAAACCCTCCCCAGCGGCAGCCTCTGCAACCCATGAGCCTGCAGACCCTGGTGGGCTCCGACTCCCTCATAATGCATGAGCCTGGCGGGGGTTGTCAGGGAACCTCGGTTTGGGCTAGCTGCAAGGGATTTCCATGCTTGCCAGGAAGCAAAGCCAGTGATGCTGCAGGCGCAGGGCAGGCTGAGCAGGCTGGGGCAGCCCAAGCAGAAACCCCTGCCAGGGAACGACAGGAGCCTCTGCTCAGGGCCTGAACATGGCTATTTGGCATTACATGGGTTTCGTGCTTGCTCAGCGCAGGAGAGGGTGGAGGAGTCAAGCTGGAGACGCTGAGCCAGGTCTCTGCAGGGGGGAGCACATGGGTCCATCCAGGGGAAGAGAAATGGATCAGGGCTGGGAGACACGGGGACCCATGGCCTTGGGACAGGCCTCGTGGCTGGGCAGCTTGCGGCAGAGGCTCAGGCGTAGGGTCTGGGAGGAGCTGCAAGAGCAGGCAGAAGGGGTGTTTCAGGTGGTTTCACTGAAGCAGAGTGGGAAGCGAGATGGGTAGGAGGGGGACGGGGGCTCCCGGGCCCAGCAAGGTGCGGTGGGGGAGCACTGAAGCCGAGGCTGGGTTTGGTATCCACATTTGTCGCGAGGGCGGGGGGATTGCACTGACGCATTTAGCACGTGTGGGCAGCCTGCGGCCGGGCTGGAGGACTTTAACAGCTGGGGGGATCTGATATCAAGCCCCGGCCGGGGAGACACATCAGACACAAAGCATCAAAGGGCAGGAAATTCAGAGGCCGCTTTCCTAACGGCGGCCTGTCCCACGCAGAGCCCGGGGGTGCGCCTGAATCCCCCTGCCCAGCCCCGGGCGGGCACGGGACGGGGTCAGTCAAGCCCTGCTGGTCCCGTGCCG